CCCCTCGGGCGGCTGCGGGGCGCGGGCGCGGGCGCCGGCCGTGACCTTGGACAGCTCCCAGCCCTCACTTGCCCTCGGTTTTCCCAGCTGTTCAGCGAGTTGGGAACTGGAGCCGCGGTTCTATTTGTCCAGGGGATACAATAGCGTCTGCGAAGCAGCCCTCCAGATATAACTGTCCAGCAGTACCATGTGCATGTGAATTGTTCTGGGCAGACACTGTAGGTTTAATCAGATTCCCACGAGGGACGGAATCCAGCGAAGGTTAACTGTGGTTGGTTCTGCGGTGCCTGTCCAGACCCCTCAGAGCTGACTGGGAAGGCAGTGGCGGCGGGGGAGGGGTGCGCCGTGTACCCAGATGGGTGTTAATTACAGGGTTGCAGCAGGTGGAAGAGCCGGCCGAGCCACACAGGGCTGCCTGAGTTGAAGATAAGGCTGCGTGAGCCTAGAAAAAGCGTCCTGGCCCCCCTCCACGGCTTTTCTCAAGCTGCTTTTCTGGGGGAGCAGGTGCCCCCGCAAGTCAGAAATTCTTTCCGAAATCCACTTTATCCTTGTCTCTGAGGTGTAGACTTAAAGATGGGTAATTTGAGAGCTGGGATGCAAGGAAACAAACAATAAACACTAGCCTGTGGTTCCAGATGCCATGGGCTCTGTCGGGAGCCCGGAGCAGAACGCCCACACTTTTTAAACGCAATATTCTGCTGTTCTAGACTCCTGCGTGCCCAGGCGGTACTTATCCTGGAGTTCAGGAAACGGACTTCCCAGAACCTAAGCCAGAAAGTGATTCTAAGATTTGCAACACCACTTCCTCATTAACCTCCCAGGACTTTTTTTTAAATCACTGAATGAACAACCTCTGAGTTACCCAAGAAGGAAAGTTGTTGCATAGAGTGAAAAATGACAGCAACTGTCAGAGCTCCTTCCCGGCCCTCTGCGTCAGAATCGGTTCTTTCCTGTGACGGAGGGAGAGGCAGTGGGAGGGGGGATGGGTGCCCAGCTGGAGAAGTGGGACACTATCTGCGCCCCAGGTAGAACGTCACTGATTAGACCGGCGAGCTGTCTCCGGTGTGTCTCAGAAGCACGCAGACACCACTGTTCCTGTGTCTCCCACGAGGGCGCCAGGCAGGCGTGATGGTATCGTTCGCCTCTACGGGCCTGAGCCATTTCTCTTCCCTGGTGCAGGAGGCATACACTGAATACCTGAGGAGCGTCCACTACATCTCTCAGGTGCTGCTGGGAGAAGCGGAAACCCCCGAAGGTACAGCTCTCAGTCTCACCGCTATTCCCGTGCTGGGCAGATTTTGGACACCTTCGCCCTTGGTGGTCCCAGGCCTGGGGGTGTCCTATGTCCTATCCACTTGGTCATGAGCAGAAGCTGAATGGGTGGGCACTCAGTAAGCATAAACTATCGTAGTGTGAAGGGACAGGTTCCATAAGGGGATGGAGATGGGGCAGGACATGACCAGAGACCAGATGTTGGACCCTAGCCAAGGGAGGAGTAAGCCAAACAAAGGTCAGGGATGAGGGCAACATCCCCAACAGAGCGTGGGGTCACCAAGGTCAGAGGTGAGGAGGGGGTGGGGTGGCCCACGGGTCAGTGGTTCAGAGGGGTGAACTTGCCCTTATTTTAATCTCACCTAGAATCTGATTAGTGATTGAGTCCTCTTGTCCCTTGCTCCCCAGAAGCTGAGGAAACTGTACCCCAGGACACCCTGAAGATGCTGAAGCTGGCAGAGCAGTGTCTGGAGAGAGCCCAATCGACAGCTGCCAAACTTGGTGCGTCTCCAGCAGGAGGTTTTTCTAGGGCATCCCCCCAAGCCCGGTTCTCCTCTGTGGAATGTGGGGCCCCGTGCTGACCCCTGGCTCTGTATGTCTTGCAGGAAAAGCATGCCTGAAGCCAGCCGTGCTTGTGGCTGCCCCTGTCCCCTCACCTGCCAGCCGACACCGCCGGGTGTACTCCGACGAAGGGGGGAAGCTCCTCCCATTTCTGCCACCCGAGGTCTTCCAGAGGCTTCAGGCAGTCGAGTCGAAAAGCTCCAAGAAGTAAGACAGGCAGACGGGAGGTGGGCTGAGTCTGGGCTCGGAGGCCAGACAAAGAGCATGAACCATGGTGAATGTGGTTAAAATGGACACCTAGAGTGGAAATTCCCTGTGCCTGGAAGAAATAAATGCAAATCATCTTTGGAGAAAAGCACCTTCAACTTTCATAAAATAAGTGGCACAGTCAAAGATAACCAAGCACGAGAAACTATGAAGGGTTGACAGCAGAGAGAGACCTACAGAGTTTGCAGACAGTTACCAGACACGTTATCAAACGTGCTCTCCTTATTTAGAAAACCACAAAGCAAGCTTGAAAATACCTGCAGGGAGCAGAGACCTATAAAGTCTAGCTTAGCAAATACAGAATCAAGTAGAAAATGAAAAATATATTAAAATTATTTTTAAAAACTAATTGGAAACAGCAACAACTAATTACAGTTGACCCTTGATGACTGGAGGTTAGGGGCACTGGCCACCCATGCAGTTGAAAATCCAAGTATGATTTAAGATGGCCCTCTGCATACGTGATTCTCAGCAGCAGATCGAAAATACAGTTGACCCTTAACACGGGTTTGAACTGCGCGGGTATATGTGGATTTTAAGTAAATTTTTAATTTTAAATAAAACCCGTGTATAAGTGGACCCGCGCATTTCAGTGTTGTTCAGTGGTCAACTGTATATCCTCCAGAAAGAGCCACACGTGCACAAAGTGAACAGACGAGTAACAGCGGAGTAGTCATAGCTGAAGAGAATTAGCGAACTGGATAAGAAGTCAAAAAGGTACCCAGAATGACTCACAAAAAGGGATGATTTGGAGGAGAGATGGAAAGTCTAACAAGATTATTGGAGGTCCAGAAAAATAGGAGGAAGAAAACAGTGGGGCACTATGTTAGGAGATAACAGTTTTCTAGAACTGATGGGGACATCAAGACACACAGCAAGCAGCCCAGATGGGACGAACAAGGAGGCCCAACTCCTCCGGGGCCACTGCTGCTCAGGTTTCAGGCCCCCACTTCTGCATTAGCGGCTTGGGGGCAGGGCAGGCACGGAAATTCCACCCCACGACAAATGTTCCCACTCTCACCCATCAGAACAGGGAGACGTGGGACATAACTTTGGTGGGGGGGACTGTTGGTAGACATGGTTTTCTCCTTCATGGGTGGTAAGCTAACCTGTTTGGCTCACGAAGTGCCTTTAAAGAGATTCACGTTGTCAAACACATGACCGATTTACATAAAGGTTCAGCCTCCTTGCAAAGTCTGGTGTCCTGCCAACAGCACACTCACAGTTCAAGTTCAGTGATCTCCAGTCTGCCCCAACCACCTCCCTTCCTTACATTTCCTGCCTGACCCCATCTCCACCTCCTCACTTTCCGGTCTCACGGCTGGGTCAGGAAAGGTCCGCAGGTCACCAGAGCGTTGCTGGGCTTCCCGGAGCCTGGACAGCAGCTTGTACCCATTTCCAGGGAGCTGACACCTCTGGAGGAGGCCTCCCTGCAGAATCAGAAGCTGAAGGCTGCGTATGAGGCCCGGATGGCCCGTCTGGACCCCAGCCAGGCCATGCAGAAGACATCGCTGGTGAGTGGGAAGCGGGAGGCTGAGCGGGTGGGGAAGGCGGCCGGCCTTACTCCTGCCTCCCTTTCCTAGACCCTGTCCCTGCAGCGGCAGATGATGGAGAACCTGGTGATCGCCAAGGCCCGGGAGGACACAGTATCCTTCCCATCCGTCCACTCATCCTGGGTGTCCAGAGGGGGAAGTTCAGAACGTGGCCTTGAGCTGAGAGAGAAGGGCTTGGGGGGAGTAAAGGTGACAGGGTTGGGGTGTGGGGACAATCTCCCAGCTTTGGGAGAGGCATGCCCCTGGGGACTGGCTTCTGCACAGCCCCTTCCTTTGCAAAGCCGGTCCTGTCACCCACCGCCACCCCGCCGGGAGAACGCCTCTCCGCCCTTCAAGTCAAGTTGCCTAGGACTTGCCTCCCTCCGTGAGTGGGCGCCCGCCCTCCAGCCCTGTCACCTCCTCCCACTGGTCTGGACCATACCCCGCCGAGGGCCGAGGCAGAACCCCTGACCGCCCCTGCCCCTGTGTTCCGTGCGGCGATGGGATGGCCCCTGCTCAGCGCACGAGCGCAGCGCCCCTTCCCCGCGCCAGGTCCGCGGCGGCCTTAACTCTGCCGTCCCAGCTGCACAGGAAGAAGGAGGAGCGCCGCCTGCGGCTCCAGGAGGCTGCCGACAGGTGCGCGCCCTCCCGTTGGTCCTGGGCGCTGGGCAGCCCAGGACGGGTGGGGGTCCCCGCCCCTGCAGCCTGCAGCCGGCAGCCCCGTGCTTCCTCTCCAGGAGGTTCTGCAGTCAGGCCGCTCTGACCCCAGAGGAACGGGAGCAGCGGGCACTCTACGCAGCCATCCTAGAGTACGAGCAGGACCACGTGAGTCCGCGGGGCCAGGTGCAGCAGCAGGGCTGTGGCGCGGTGGGGATGGGGGTGGGGGTGGGGGGCCAGGGTCACGGGTCACTGCTGTGGCTCCCATTCCCGACGGCGGTGGGGGAGTTTCTGTAGGCCTGCTGGCATGGGGTCTTCCCTCCCCCTAAGGCTGGGTGTCAACAGCAGGCCTGGTCTCCTGGGGTGCAGCCTTGGCAGGGGGCGTCCCACCGTGGGGGTCCTGCCGAGCTCTTCTCCAAGGTCTCCTGCCCTGCAGGACTGGCCGAAGCACTGGAGGGCCAAGCTCAAGAGGAGCCCTGGGGACCTATCGCTGGTGACCAGCTTAGTGTCCCATCTGCTCAGGTACCAGGGCCTCAGGCCCCCACCCCTAGTTGTGGCTGAAAGGATTATAATGAGGAGGTCCGGGGGCTGGTGGTGCCCGGCCTGTGGCCCTGGGCCCGCCCACTTTGCTCAGGGCAGTCACTGGCCGGGCTCTGCCTGCAGAGAGGCTGGGTCAGACCTTACTGCCACCTTCGCTGGAGGAAACAGCATAGGGTCACTTCCCTGGCCGGGTGGATGTGGGCAGGGGCCAGCTTTCTCAGCCCCCAGGCCAGCGGCAGCGCTGGGACTGCAGCCCCTCGGCTGCCAGTGACACACGCCTGTCTTCCCTCCCGCTGCAGCGTCCCCGAGCACCCCGTCACGCAGCTCCTGAAGAGGCTCCAGTGTGCGGTGTACCAGGCGCTGTACCCCATCGTGAGCAGGGGCGCTGCTGCTGCCTCCGCCCCGGGCTGCTGCTCCCTACCCCCCGACGCCGACGGGCTGCTGGCCCCTGGGAGCCGGCGGCTGAGGCCCTCACAGAGCCTCTATTGCATGCTGTGCCCCCCAGAGCCCAGCCTGGGCCCACGGCCCCTGGACGGACCTCCTGCCGACCCCCCCACATCCCCACTGCCCCCCGGGCCCCTAGAGAGAGGGGCGGACAGCAGCCCTAAGGGGCCTCCATCACCTCTAGTGGGCAAGGACAGCTCCTTCGAAGACCTGGAACAGTTCTTGGCTACTTCTGAGAGGTGGGGCCGGGGCCCTGGGGGTCTGCCTGAGCCTACAACGCCAGGGCTGAAGGAGCCATTGCTGGAGCAGCTCAGGAGCACAGTGAAGGACATACACAATGCCATCGGTGAGGCCAGGGGGTGGATGGGCCCACGCTGGGGTGGCCAAAGGAACATCCTTGCTCTGCATGGCAGCTAGGCGTCCCTGGCCCAAGGCGCCTACCCTCCACCCTCTGGCTAAACACCCTGCTCAGCAGCCAGGCAGACTTGGCCCCTGGGAGCAGCTGGGCTGGCTGCGGCCCAGACCTCCCTCCACCCCTGGCCGCCTTCTCACTGGGCTGCAAGAGACGCAGCCATGTCCACTGCAGTCTTGCGTTTGGGGAGAGGTCTGCTGTCAGGGCCTCTGGTGGCCGATGGTCCTGGCTCTCTCATCAGGTGGGACTCACTGTCCTTCCAAACCAAGCAATGTCAGATGTGTGCAGCCTGGTGGTGACCATGGGCTCATTCCCTGGCTTTTCCATTCTGAGAATAGTGTGTAGGTTTCCTAAGGGTTTCCTTGGGGCTCAGGGTGGCAGGTGACTTCCAGGTCCCTTCCAAGGAGGAAGGCGTCCGGGTTTTCCAGGAACCAGCACAGGAGGCCCAGCAGCTGGGCCTCAGTGCTCTCCGTGGGCCCTCACTCTCCAAGGTGCCTGAGCGGGCCCCCTCCTCCCTGGGCAGGTCCCTGCATCTCCCCTGGCAGGTCCCCCTCCTCCCCGGGCCAGCCCTGTCTCTCTGAGCCTGAGATGTCTCGTCTTTGAATGTGCCTCTGAAATTTCTGCGTGTTCCCGCGGTTTGGAGTGTGAACCTTTTTCAGAAAGAGCCCGTTCTCTGCTCTTCTCCCTGGGCCCCTTAGTGGGCCGCTCAGGGGAGCTGGGCGTGGACCTGTGAGCACCTGGGGGAGTGCCCGGACTGCCCGCTCTGACCTAGGGCCACAGGAGTGCAGGAGGGGGGCTCCCAGACAGCCCCCTCCCCACTGAACCAGGGCGCTGTGGCCCTGCCCACACAGATGGCTTCGGGAGGACCAGAGGGGACGTGAGGGGGGATATCTGGGCACCCCAGGATGGCTGGGGGGGACCTCCATGGGCTGCCAGCCGGCCCCACAGGCCACTGTGCCGGCTCTGCTCCCGGCAGACAGGCTGCTGTCGCTGATGCTCCTGGCTTTCGAGGGCCTGAACTCAGCCGTCTCCAAGGACCGCTGCCTAGCCTGCATCGAGGAGCCCTTCTTCTCCCCGCTGTGGCCCCTGCTGCTGGCCCTCTACAGGTGCCGTCCCCATATGCGTGATGACCCCCTTCTTCGTCCCTGGGGCACACTGTGACTACTCCCACCTGGTGCTTGACTCTGAGGTCATCCTCAAGTGTTTCTAGTTTGCGTGTGGTGCCATATCCACCCTGCCGTGACTCGGCATGGCCAGCTTTCCGCGGCCCTGCTTCTGTCCTGGGGGCAGTGTCGCTCAGGCAGCTGAGCCTGGCCTCTCCCTGCCCCAGGAGTGTGCACCGCCCCCAGGAGGCCGCCCTGAGCAGGAGCATGGAGCTGTACGGGAAGGCGCCCCCAGCAGCCATCGGCATCCCCAGCAAGCTGCTGCCGCAGGGCCCTGAGGCCACGGGGACAGGCACTTACCCGTACTGGGCTGCAGCGCAGGAGCTGGGGCTGCTGGTTCTGGAGAGCTGCCCCCAGAAGAAGCTGGAGTGCATCGGTGAGCACCGGAGCTTGGGAGGAGGGCGAGGGGACGTGTTCAGACAAGGCGCATCCTGTCCCAGAGGGTGACATGGAGACTGTGCTCCTCGTCTGTGGGATGCAGGTCTTCCTCCTGTCAGATGGGCCGTGAGAGTGACTCCCCGGGAGGGGTCACCCCCCACGCCAGGGTGCCGGGGTTGGACTGCCCTGCACCTCCCCCCACACCCGGCTTCTGTGCTGCAGTGCGTGCCCTGCGGGCTATCTGTGCCTGTGCGGAGGGTTACTACCGCGCCCACGAGCCTGCGCCTGAGGCTGAGCCACAGCCCGGCACTGCCGCCATGTGAGTCCCCTGAGTGCACGGTCTGGGGGGGCTGCCTTCACAGGCCTAAGGGCGAGGGAACCCTCCCCCACTGCCCTGAGCACCAGGACACAGTTTTGCCCCGCAGGTCCCTGGGCTCTAGCCCCCAAAAACAGCGCACCCCCCTCCTCGGGATCCCTTAGATGCGGGATCCCTGGCTGACCTGATAAAATTGGAGGTTGCTTGTCCTGGATCACAGGCTTGGTCCCTCAGATGCACACGTCGGGGAGCAGCCTCAGCCCCGTGATGAGCCCACTCCCTTCACTGGGCCCCCAGCCCTGGGCTTCCTGCCTTGTGCCTGCCCCACGCTCCTGAGGTGGGCTGGGGTCTTCCCCACCAGGTTCCGCAGCCCGGGGCTCTGGTGTCTGGTCCTGCCGCAGTCTCACCTGGACCTGCCTGTGGCCTGCACACCTGCTGTTCCCTCAGCACCTGCAGGGGCCCCTCCCACTGCCACTTTACTCCAGGGACCAGGGCCATCCTGAAGGCACCTGTCATGGCAGCCAGGCGGGTGGGCTGTGGCACCCTCCCCACCCCCAGGGCCTGCAGGTGACGGAGAGGTAGCAGTCAGAGCAGAGTGCGAGGTTAGCAGGGAGGTGCTCCACCCAAGAAGAGGAAGACAGATGCCACCCCCACCTGCAGGGCCAGGGTGCCGGGCCTCAGCTGGGGGTCCAGCCTGGGGACGTCCAGCCCGGCTCCCAGCGGTCCCTTCACCAATGTACTGCTGGGCTCCCGGGGGCGGGGGCAGCTGTGGGTAGCAGGACTGAACACTTCCAGGACCGAAAGCGCTTCCTGGTCTGGCCACAGCCCTTCGCTGACTCCTTCCTTGGGGCCCCAGTCTGTGTCCCTGCAGGTGTACGGCTCCTGGAAACGTGGGGGCAAGGCCACGAGCCGGAGCACAGTGTGAGGCCTCCCGCGTCAGACTCGGGCCTAGTTTGTCCCCAGGCTCTCCCAGAGCCCACTGGCCTGGGGCCTCAGGTCCCGTCAGCTCACTCAGATGCTTCTCACAGAGGGTCTGGGTGCCAAGTGTGCTGAGCTGAGTGACACCCGGTCTTAGGAGTGAGCAGGCTGCCCGGGCCACAGGCCATCCCCGCCATCATTGTGTCCCCCAGGCTCGGGCAAGCTGCTGAGGCTCCTCCACCCTGGGGCCCTCCTTGGGTGCAGCCCTGGCCTCTGCAGCACAGGGCCCCTGTCCAGGGCCAGCCTAGCTGCTGCTGAGTGCTCTGTGTGGACGGATGCAGGGGGCCGAGCGGGGGCCGTGGGCTTTGGGGCTCGAGCAGCACTGCTGGCCTGAGCCTGCTGGCAGCTGTGCCCTGTCTCGCAGTGGCGCCGACGACCTGCTGCCCATCCTGTCGTTCGTGGTGCTGAGGAGCGGGCTCCCCCAGCTGGTGTCTGAGTGCGCTGCCCTGGAGGAGTTCATCCACGAGGGGTAGGAGCCCGCCGGGGAGCCGGCCACATACCCCCAATTGGAAGTCCGCCTGTTGGGGGTCCACAGTCCCTCTCCCTGTGGCACACGGCTCGGGCTGGGGCGCCGAGTGCTGAGCAGTGTCTGCCCGGGGCCTGGGCTTCCCCTCCACCGAGCCTCCCTGACGGGCCCCCTGGGACCTCAGCGGCCAGGTCCTGCCTCCCAAGGGCAGCTACCCCTTCCAGAATGCCAGGCCCTCCTCATGTCCCCACCCTCCTGGTGACAGGCGCCACCTCCCCACAGGTATTTGATCGGGGAGGAGGGCTACTGCCTGACCTCACTGCAGAGCGCCTTGAGCTACGTGGAGCTGCTCCCTCGGGGTGCCCTGGGCACGCAGCAGAGATCGGGACCAGCTGCAGTGGCGGCTCCACAGCTTTCGCCCCCACCCTCACCCGACACCGGTCCCTGGGGCTCAGGGAAGGCCCTCTGCTCCTGACAGGCTGGGGCTCAGCTGCATCAGCTCCCAGGACCCAGGCCTCTCTCTGTCCCCAGCCTCCGAGAGGCCTCGTGCAGGGCTCCCCTGGGCAGGGCGGGGGTATGGGCCTGGCTGAGGGCAGGCCTGGTGTCTCGCACTCCATCACTTGGGACAGTCAGAGCTCCCCGAGCCAGTCCCTGTCAGCCTCCTGCCCTGAGGCCCAGGGGTTTGAAGCTGTGCTGCTTATTTATTGGGTATCGACCACCCCGCGCTCCCTTGGAAGCCCAGGTGTTTCTGGGGCACCCACCCGTATCTGGGGGCTCAGAGCCACACCTCCGCCCTCGACAGTGGCATCAGATACCCCTCCTGGGTCCTCCCGGAGGGTCAGTGCCTGCCTGTTCTGACTCTGTGCCCCCGGAAGTCACTAACCTGGCTGATAATAAAGAGGTCACTGATGTCTCACTCCAAGAAGCTTGCTGAGTCCCCACTCCCTGGCCAAGCGCAGGCCTAGGCAGCACAGCCACCCCTCTGCTGACCAGCAAAAAGCAGACTCCCAGAGACGGCTGAGGCTCACCACACCAGGCCTGCCCCCAGACCCTCTGTGTGGGGCTGGGGCTGCCCTGGGCCTGCACCACCAGGGACAGTACGGTCTAGGGGTCAGAAGTCACCCCTGGGCAGGACCTGAGCCTGGATCTGTCCCTGGGGCCAGTGTCCTATCAGGACCCTTTGTGGGCTAGCATCCCCTGCCCACCAGCACCCCAGGGATAGGCCAGCACCCACTCTCTTAACCTGCCCTCGAAGCTTTCAGTCCCTGGGTCCCTACCCTTGTCTCCTCTCCTCCACCCTCTCCAGAGGAAGGCCATGGCCCTGCCCTTGGTCCCCCATTCTGCCTCTGCTCCTGTAAATGTGGAGTTCCGAGTCCCCCGTCCTGGACATGAATCTCAGCCTTGCGAGGGGGGAGTGTCTGCTCCAGGCCCGGCATTGACCTGTCAAGGCTGGGATTTTAAAGCCCCTAGCACCCAGCAGGTGGGGGTGAAGGTACGCCTCGAGCTAAGCCTGGTAGTGGGGGCACCTTTTGGCTTTGTGCCAGGGACTACATTGTGGCGGGGGGGCAAGCATTCTGAGGGTTGTCTCCTTGGCATCCTGCTGTGTTCACTGTGGTCAGTCAGGCTTGTGCTCAGGCTGCTTCTTGCTGTGTGATCTTGGGTCAGTTCTTAGCCTCTCTGAGCCTATGGCTCCTCCTTTAAATAGAGAGGAGTGATCGATTCATCACACTGGAAATCCCACAAAGCAGCAGCAAAAATGTAGGTGCCCCAAGTAAAGAAAGAACAAAGGCTATGAGCAGGCCACCCACAGAGGCGGAAATAAAATAATCAGCATAGGAAGTCATAAAGAATCAAGAAATACGAATTACAACAGTAACAAGGTAGAACTCTGTATGCAATGGACTGGCGAAACGAGACAGCTGGACATTGCCCAGCATACTGTGTGAGATGGGGCCACAGGCACAGGGTGGCATGGACAGGTCAGCAAACTCGGCCAGCTGCAGTCTTGGGCCCTCTGACCCAGCAACTCTGCTCTTGGTTGTAGCCCAAGGTCGTGTACACAGATGAATTAGAGCAATGTGGCATCTGTCCTCAGGAGAGTGGGTAGGGGCACGTACTGTGTTCGTCCCAGCCATCCAATGCTGCGTAACAAGCCACCCAAACACATGACAGTTATTTACTCTGCTCATGAATCTAACATTTGGACAGGGTGCAGTGGGGACAGCTTGTCTCTACTCCTTGCTCCCCAGCCCGGCATCAGCTAGGTCAGCTTCCAGGTTGGGGTGGCCCAATGTCCAGGAGTTGTAATCATCTGGATGTCTGCCCTCATGTTTGCAGTGGATGCTTGTCAGCTGGCGCCTCAGGGCTGTTAGAACAACTATGTGAGGCCTGCATCAGTTTCCTGTGGCTGCTGTAACAAAATACCACAAGCTGGGTGGCTTAAAACAACAGAAATGTACTCCGAATTCTGCATGACAGAAGTCAGAAATCGAAGTGTCGACGGGTCTGTGCTCCCTCGTCTTGGGGAGATCGCTTCCTTGCCTTGTCCAGCTTCTGATGGCTCCCGTAATCCTTGGCTCGTAGCTGCATCACCCCAGTCTCGGCCTTGGTCACTATATCCCTTCTCCCCTATGTAGCTGTGTCTAAACCTTCCTCTTCTTGTAAGGCACCAGTCACATTGAATATAGGGCCCACCCTAATCCAATATGACTTCATCCTAACATGATCACAACTGCAAAGACCCTTCTTCCAAGACCCTATGTCCCCAGCTCCCGGGTGGACATGAATTTGGGGCACATTATTCAGCCAGCACAAGGCCTCTCCGTGTGGCCGCTGACTTCCTCACAGCGTGGCGGCTGGGTTCCAAAAGAGAGCCTCTCAAGATAACAAGTTTTTATGACTTAACCTGGGAAGCACACAGGGTCACTTCCATTCTATGGGTGGAGACAGGTGTGAAGCCCCACCGAGGTTCCAGCCTCACTCGGAGGAAGAGCCATGCTTCCCGAGTCAGGAGTGTTGATAACACACAGCAGCGGGAACGGATGCCTACTGACAGCAGGAGCGCAGGCGCGGAGGCGCGAGGCACAGGAGCATGCACTTACGACCCTGCACACGCAACGGAGGGTGCACGTCCACGCACAATCCTGCACACTGGACAAGAACGCGCCTTCATCGCACCTCGGCCCCCAAACGGTGCTCTCAGGGGCCGGCGGCTGACAGCCACAGGAGACCAGGAGGCGGAGCCCTCCAGAAGATGCCTCCTCCCCACTCTTTTCTGGGGAATCCCCATTAGGTAACGCGGGGGGCTCCGCCCCGCGTCCCGGCTCCCAGTAGACCCCTGGCGCTCCCCAGCGCGTGGCAGGAGACAGCGGGGCGCGGTCGCTCTGAGCCTCAGGGCCGGCTCTGTGGGAGGAGCTGCTGGAACAAACCTTTATTTTGCGCCCGCTGTGGGGATTCGCCGTGAAAGGCACCGTGGGGAGACGGGCGACGCAGTAACAGGTGCCCGTACAGGTGCGTCGCGCAGGTGCTCGGCGGGGCGGGGCCGCCGAGGTTCTTCGGAGCCGCCATGAGGCCTCGCCTCGCTCCGCGGGAACTCGCGCGGCCACGCCCCCGGGCCCGCCCTGTCCCCTGGGAGCCTTACGGCCACGCCCCTGGCAGGCCCCACCCCGCCCGTGTTGGCCGAGGGAGCGGAGCCTGGAGCAAGCCCCGCCCCAAGCGTCACGGCCGAAGCCGATGGGCGGAGCCAGCTCCGGGCGGAAGCGCCCTGCTTGGGGAGAGGCCGGAGCAGAGCGGCGCGCGCTTGGCGACCGCCCGGGACAGACAGGTAGTGGGTTCGCCTGCGGGGCCCACAGAACGATATGGTGGGCGACAGGTCTGAGTTCGGGATGGGGGACATCAGCTGGCGGGGCGTGTTTCCAGGAAAGTGGGCTGCTGTAGATACCCGGGGCCATTCAGCGGGCGAGGACAGAGCCGCCAGGCTGGAGGGGGACCCGTGGGTGCTGGGCGAGAGCTCTGGGGACACACAGCTGGCGGGGAGGGGTCTCTGTTCCTAAAACCCTACCCCTGCCCGCCAGGATGGGCAGCAGCTCGCTGTCCGAGGACTACCGCCTGTGCCTGGAGCGCGAGCTGCGGCGCGGCCGCGCGGGCGTGTGCGGGGACGCGTCGCTGCGCGCCGTGCTCTGGCAGATCCTGGTGGAAGACTTCGACCTGCATGGGGCGCTGCAGGACGACGCGCTGGCGCTGCTCACCGACGGCCTGTGGGGCCGCGCCGACTTGGCCCCCGCGCTACGCGGCCTGGCCCGAGCCTTCGAGCTGCTGGAGCTGGCCGCCGTGCACCTGTACCTGTTGCCCTGGAGGAAAGAGTTCACCACCATCAAGGTAGGACTCCCTGCCCAGGCCTCGGGGTTGGGGGTTCAGGTGTCCTCAGCCCCGTGGGTTTCCGGGCTCAGAACGCGCTGAGGGGTCTTGTGTGTGTCGGGGTAGCTTTGGGCCGAGTTCCCTCTGGGCACTCCCAGGGCTGAGAACATGGGGTGGGTGGAGGCCACACATCCCCAGGGGCCTGCTTCCTGGGGAGTCCTTCCCCTTAAAGCTTGCATCACTGCCCTCCCCAAAGTGACTTGGTAGCTCCAGTTGCCATAAAAATCATAGGACAGGCTCACGATTTTATGGTCACTCTAATCCCTCCAGAACGCAGGCTGATGCCATTTATAGAGAAGGACACCAGGTGAGTGTTCCCCTATGAAGCAGGTAGGGGTTGGAGAGCCAGGCTAGGCTCCAACCTAGTTTACTCCCCATCCGGGGTAGAGCTGTGCCCAGGGCTAGCCTGGCTCCTCTAGGTGAGCTGTGGGCCAGCAGGGGGCGGGCAGGTCGCCAGGTGCTGAGCTGACTAGCAGTAGGAAGGTGATGATGTCAGTGGGCACTGTGGGCGAGCTGCCTCCACCGGTTGCCATGGCAGCAGCAGCCTCTCTGGGGAAGGAGCTCTGGAGCCCCTGCTCCTGAGGACATCTGCTGGTTCTGGGCTTTCATTCATCCATTCAGGCAATAGAGTGGGGGGAGGGGGAGGGTGGCACAGAGCCACCCCGGGGGAGTCTGGAAGCAGGATGCAGGCCTGCCTCTGGGGCACCCCTGGGCTTCCAGGGTGGGGAGGCCTGGATGGGGTCTGGTTCTGCCCCCTCCTGGCTGTGTGGCTTGGGGCAAGTTCCCTGTTCTCTCTGGACCCATTGCCTTGGTTGCCCAGTGGACACGAGGGTTGTGCAGTTCTAGGTCTGTCGTGGGGGGCGGCGCACTGTCGGACGCTGCAGCAGGGGAATGGTCACGGTCCCAGAGCCACGCTGCTCACCCTGCCAGGCCCCGTCACTGCCGTCTGGAAAGCACTGGCCCATTATTCCAGAGTTCTCAGCCAGCCGCACGTGACAGTGGTCACCATGCTGCTGTCGGATGGCACGCAGCTGGAGGGAGTGGCAAGCCTTTGTGGGGAAAGCTCTCTGGGACAGTACCTGGAAAGCAGAGCTCAGGGCAATATGTCCAGGAGGCTACCTGTCAGAGGAGCAGCGGCATATGGCACCTGAGTGGGTGACTGCACACCGAACTCAGCAGGCACCTCGGAAACGAGCAGCAAAGCTCTGGGTGCGGGAAGGTGTGGGGACCGGGCCGAGCCAGTCTTCGGTTTGGATCTGTGATGCCAGGGCTGGCCCAGTCTGTGAGCTGAGTGTCTGGGGGTGCCCTGAGCTCTTGTTTTTAAAAAGTTTCCTGGAGGGAGTGTCAGAACAGCCAAGAATGTCTGGTCACGTGGCACCACGTTGCCATCCGGAGTGAGGGTGGTGAAGCTCAGCCCAGCTCGGGCCTCAGGTCCAGGTTGCTGCTGACCCGGTCCCTTCCTTGCAGACCCCCCTGAAGCTCAGCCCAGCTCGGGCCTCAGGTCCAGGCTGCTGCTGACCCGGTCCCTCCCTTGCAGACCCCCCTGAAGCTCAGCCCAGCTCGGGCCTCAGGTCCAGGCTGCTGCTGACCTGGTCCCTCCCTTGCAGACCTTCTCAGGGGGCTATGTGCACGTGCTGAAGGGTGCCCTCTCGGAGGACCTTCTCATCCAGAGCTTCCAGAAGATGGGCTACGTGCCCAGGGACAACCACCGCCTCACGGTGACCGCCCCACCCCCAGCCTGCCAGCTGGTGCAGGTGGCTCTGGGCTGCTTCGCCCTGCGACTGGAGTGCGAGATCCTGGGTGAGGTACTGGCACAACTGGGCACCAGTGTGCTGCCGGCCGAGGAGCTGCTGCAGGCACGGCGGGCCAGTGCGGATGTGGCCTCCTGTGTGGCATGGCTGCAGCAGCGGCTGGCCCGTGGAGAGGAGCTGCCACCCCTGCCCCTGCGGGGCTCCCCAGCTGTGTACCGGGCCCAGCTGGACCTGTACCGGGCCCTGCAGGAGGACGAGGGCTTGGAAGAGGCCAGCCTGTATGGAGGGCCTTCTCCCGGCCCAGGCTCGCCATCCTCGGAGCTGGCCTCGCAGCCTCTGCTCTGGGAGCAGAGTGCCAAACTGTGGGGTGCTGGGGGCGACACCTGGGAGCCCCTGGAGGAGGCTGAGGTGTCGCAGCAAGCCAGTAGTCCTCCCTACGGGGCCCTGGAGGGAGAGCTGGAGCCCGAGCCTTTCTCCTTCGTCTCGCTGTGCCGAGAGCTGCCGAATCAGCCAGGGGACCTGGCCGCTCCCAAAGCCCCCAGGAGCCCTGGGCGGGCCGGCCCCCAGCATGTGCATGGGCCCATCCCCGAGCCCGCCGGCTACCAGGCGCACAGCTGCCTGGCCCCTGGCGCCCTGCCCACCCTCTGCTGCGACACATGTCGCCAGCTGCACGCCGCCCACTGTGCCACCCTGCCTGCCTGCCGTCTGGGCCACGTGTTGCGTGCATTGCTCAGCGACACCCAGCGGCGCCTATGGCTGCAGCGTGCACAGGTGGACACCCTGCTGTATGACAGCCCCGGGGCCCGGCCTTAGGCCCAGCCAGGCCCTGGCCAAAGGCTTTCCAGAGTCCGTCTCTGTGGTGCTTCTCGGGACCTCATTCGTCCTCAGGCCTGGGCCACTGCTGCCCGGGATGGGGAGACAGCCCCGGCTCCCAAGCAGGAGGCAAGGTCTGGCCTTCTGGGGAGAGCGCCCAGCTTGAGCACCCAGACACAGACCCAAGCCCAAACATGCTGGGTGGACAGGTCTAACCTGCATCTGTCGTCACCAGAATCTGTCCCGGGGATGAACCCTCATCCCCTCACCCCTTCCCCCACCCCACTGTAAGAGCCCAACACTCAGCTTATAGCTCTTGACCTGCACTCTGCAGGTTGTGACTTGGGACTTGCTATCTCCGTCCACGTGTCCAAACAGTTGACACCGAGCCCTGAGCTCCATGGGGTCCAATCTGAGGGCCCTGCCAGGTGCATGGCTGACCTGGCTGTGGAGACATGGCCCCTCCCTGGGAGGGTCACAGGCCAGCACTGAATGAGTACCAGCTCAAGGCTGGGCCACATGCCCTGGTCACAACTGCAGGGAGGCTGGGTCAGTCCATGGATGGAGACCAGTAAGGTGTCCAAGCACCCCAGAGAACAGGCAGCAGAAGGCAGGTGCTGACCGTCTGGGCAGGCTATCACCCCACTCTGGGCAACCGGCACCCCAGTACCCTCCCTGCTCTGCTCCCTAATGTGCTGGCTTTGGAAGGTGTGGGGCACAGTCTTACAGGCTTCCCACCCCAGGTCCAATGGGAAAGGCCTGGCCGGGCTCTCAACAGCCACCACTGAGGCGGATTGCCAAGGCCAAGGCAGGCGGGAGCAGCCTCTCCTCCCTGGGGTAGGCGGGGTCCTAGGAACTACTAGCTCGCAGACTGGAGTGGGTCTGCCTGCCTCGGCCCAGGGCAGGTGCCATCCCTGTGCTGCCTCTCCTCACCAGAGTCCTGCCCTCGTCTGTCCATCCCATCTGTCCTTCCCAGCACACGTGTCATAGGACAGAACCCCATAGTACATTAAAAGACACTGAACCCATCGCATGTGTCAAGAAAGCTTTTATCTCTGAGTTCCTATCAGCACGAACCATAACCCAGCCCAGCCAGGCTGGCTGTACCCTACACCCCTCCTCACCTTGGGTCCTGCCAGCCCTGCCCAGGGAGTCACCACAGGCTCTCCCTGCCCCAGAAAGACCTTGGTGGCCAACCAAGGACACGAATAGCCATGAGTGGTCTACATATTTCAGTGAGTGTGGCACCGGACGGGACCTAGCATGGCCACCACAGCCTGGGATGGAGCAGCCTCAAGTATCCAGGCCCTTCCGAGTGTACCCAGCTGTCACCCCACACCCACACCCTGCTGTTCCAGCGCAGCGATGGGCAGAAATGGCAGGACGCAGCGTGGTCAGTCCCAGACAAGGGACGAGCCGAGTCCCAGAAGCCTTCAGGGCCTGCAGCGCTTGCTCTGGCTCTCCGACGTGGCCGGGGCAGCCCGCTTATTCCGATGGTGGGGGAAGGTGGGCATGAGCTCCGGCTCGCAGGCTGTGGGGAGGGGCTGTCAGCACTGGGGTGTCTGAACCCCTGGGGCCTCCCCCTGCTCCCCTCCCGTGACCCTCAGAGGGTGTGTATGGTCAGCACCCAGCCCCGGCCTGCCCAGGGCCCATGGCCCACCCGACGACGGCCCTGCACTGGGAGCCATGACAAGCCTCGGGCTCAGGGCTCCGTGAGGCTCCGTCCTGACCCCCACCCTGGCCAGCAGCCCCGCCGAGCTGTGCTGAGGGGCCGGACACTCACGCAGGGGTTTCTCCTTGAAGTAGGAGCTCTCCAGGCAGTCCCCGGCCGTTGCCCTGGAACAGAGGGCCCCCCACGCCGTCAACATGGCCCCAGGCCTCCCTGAGACTTGGAGCCCCTGCTCCCAATTCCCCCAAGACAGAAGGGATCTGGAGCCCAGGGACCAACAGGAGCCTCAGAACAGGCTGCATGACCTGGGTGGGCTGAGGCCATGTATCAGGTGGGCCGTTCTGATGGCAGCGTGGCCTGTTCTGAGACACCCGCGATGGGTCCCGGCGGCAGGCGCCCCCAGAGGCCAGGCCAGCACCTTTTCTTCGGGTCGTACATGAAGAGCAGGTGCAGCAGGCGCAGGCCGGCCTCCGACAGCCAGGGGAAGCGGTGCTTCAGGTTGTTGTACGGCTGCTTCCTCAGGCTGTACTGGCCAACAAGCGGCAGCTGGGAGAAGCCCTGCGGGGCGGGGCGGGGCGAGAGCTGAAGCCGCAGCCGCGGGAGGGCAGGGCGCCGGCGGCAGGGCGCGGGTGGGCACATACCGGCCAGATGTTCTCGCTGGGCGTCCCCAGCAGCTGCACGATCAGGTCCACCTGGTGGATCTCGGAAGTGCCGGGGAGGAGGGGCTTGTGGGCCAGCAGCTCAGCCAGGACGCAGCCCATGGCCCTGTGGGTGAGCAGGCTCTCACCTTCTGCACTGCGGGACGGGACCCGCAGAGAGCGCACGGGCTCCCATGGGCTAGGGTCAGAGGTCACAGCGGACTGGCCATGGGACTGGGTCCCAGCCTGTCTGGGTGACCGTGAGGGCAGGGCCTGCCTTCTGTGGACCTCAGCGCCAGGAGTCCGTGAACGGGATCCCAGGCTTAGGCCCACCTCCTGGGAGCTGGGAGCGGTCAAAGACCCCAGCCCCACTCCCGTCCCTACCTGCTCCCACTTGACCTGCCCTCCCCTGACCTTCCCGAGGCCTGACAGAGGCCCCCACTCCTCACCACATGTCGATGCTGGTGGTCTGCGTGGCAGTGCCCAGCAGCAGTTCTGGGGCTCGGTACCTGCCAACGGAAGCACACCACCTTGTGTCCGGCAGTTCCTCTTCTCCGGCTGGAGCCCCACAGGGCACGCACGGGGGACCTGCGCCAGCCTGGGAGCCTGAGACGGCCTGGGTGACGGGGCTGCTAATACCGACGTGACCGCCGCTTCCTGTAAAGCTCTCACAAACATGGTACACGGTGACAGCTGCTGTCGCTGAGTGGCTCCGGTGTGTAGCAGTGTCCCAGGTGTGGCAGACACCACCGAATCCTCAGTACTAACCGAGTGCCAGTGGTCCTAGAGATGGTGCTGAGTGTCTTGTGGCAGACAGCCTCTGACTCCAACGTCCTGCCCTGACCCACGCCCCTGCTCTGCCTTTTGCAAACGCAGCGAGAAGTCACTCCAGAAAGCTCTGTGAAGCGCCGTGCCAGTCAGTCGAGAGTGACCGAGGCGGCTCAGAGCCAGGCTGGGCTCTGGTGGCTTGAGCAGGGCGGTGGCCCACCTGGATGAAGCAGGTCCTCTGTGCCACCAGCCTTGCTGTGGCCCTTCCCCTGTGACAGCCCTGCTCTGCTGGAGCCCTTCCCCACCCGCAAGGTCCTCTGCAGCTTCAGCATGACACCCCGAACTTCTCTCTACCATGCTCTCTCAGTCCCCAAGGACTCACCACAGAGTGACTACCTTGGGGGTCATTGGCTTCACTGGGATGCCATAGGCCCGGGCCAGGCCGAAATCCGCTGTGACAGAGAGACAAAGGGAGAGTGTCACCAGCAAGAGCTAACAAGTCACCGTATGGGGACAACAGCTCTTAGCCTGCAGGGTGTTTATATAGACAGACCTGCCCCCCAGCCCCGCAAGGTGACACGCACAGAGACACCGACCTCAGAGCCAGCACCCCACACCCACCTGTCTTTACACAGCCCTTATCGGTCATGAGCAAGTTGGAGACCTTCAGGTCCCTGTGAAAGAGACATGAGTGGTTCCAAAGAGTGAGCTCCCTGGGGTAGTCAGGTTGTCACCATCACAATGACACTCAGAACACTTCCCCACACAGCAGCTCCTGTTGGAAACTCTAAAAACGAGAGCAGGCAGTGCGAGGCGCCGGGCAGCTGGGAGCAGTGCCAGCGGCGAGTCAGGACGAGGCAGAGCCGGGCTCCCAGCCAGCTCTGCCTGCCAGCCTCGCCCACGCTCCCCACCCAGGGCTGTGCAGGCCACTCAGGGCAGTCCAGCTCTCAGGCTGGAGGATCCTCCACTCCACCCCGATCCCCACTCTCGGCCTCTCCTGGCACATGTCGCAGACTCCAGGAAGGCCCTCCACTGCGGGACTTCTCAGAGCCTTGACTACATTCAGCATCAGCTCCGACGAGAAGGCAGGCACTGTTTGGTGCTGGATTCCCCAAGGAGCAGTGAGAGCCCCCCACACCGAGGCTGTGTCGCTCCTGTTCCTGCTCCTCTACTGGGGACTGGGCAGTGACACGCTGGAAGCCAGTCAGTCCTGGTGGTCACCCTTCTCCCATGCCACGGCCCAGTGTAAATGTCCCGAGGCCCCGCCCCATCCAGAGCCTGGCCCACCTGTGGATGATGAAGTTCTGGTGTAGGTACTGGAGGCCCCGGAGCACCTGCAGCACAATGCACTTGACCTACACAGAGGGTGGGGCACTCAGGGCGAGCCCGGTTTGGTGCAAAAGTGCTAAATGAGGGCCCATGAAGCTCCGCGCCCCCCCTGCCCCCCGCACCTGGGCCTCTGAGAAGGGCGTCGGCATGTTCTCCAGAAGGCTGGCCAGGTCTTGCTCACAGTAACCCATCACCAGGAATATGCTAGAAGAATAACGGGGAGGATACATGCCACACCACACCTCCCCGCACCCAGCAGTGAGCTCAGCAGGGCCAAGTGTGCAGGGCCAGCAGACTGCTCACCTCTCCAGGTGGTTCCCCACGACCACCTCCTTCAGCTCCACGATATTGGGGTGGCGAAGGCGCAGGAGCAGTGTGATCTCTCGAAGGCTGCTGATGGGGACTCCTGCAACCAGACATGGCCTCAGCAAGCCTCCCTGCAGACGGGACCACTGACAGCTCAGTGATCCTCACCCCCGAACACACGGACCCCTGTAGCCAGCCACCTTCGGCGAGCCTCCCACCTGCCCATGTCAGGCCTCAGCAACGCCCAACCCTATGATGGTCCGGGCTCTGCCCGCAACCTCCGGAGAACTGAGGCCGTCCCAACAGGCACCTTTAACCCCCTTCCGTCGCCACATGCCAGGCTGCAGCTCTGCAGGGCCCACTGTGCTCAGCGGGCCAGCCGTGAGCACGCAGAGCTCTGTGCGCGCAGGCCGCCAGGGAGGTGTGGGGTGGTGAGCGGGGGCGGCATGGGGCACACAGAGGCCACCGGCCAGGACTCGAGTGGGGAAGGCCCGTGGCGGGGGTGAGAGCTGAGACAGAAGGTGGGGCAGCCACCACACGCAGGAACTGCACGGGGCTCAGGGAGCCGAAGCCCAGAGCGCGTGGAGCGCCACGCGGACGTTCTCAGAGCCGGCGTGCTCCCGGTACCGAGGGGCCCGTCCCACGGGAGCCCCGTCGGCCGCACCCTCCCACGGGCTCGCGGGGCCCAGCGCCCCTGCCCCGCTCACCGTCCTTCTCCTTGTCCATGCGCACTTTCTTCAGCGCCACGATCTCGTCCGTCTGGGTGTCCCGGGCCCGGTCTGCAGGGGGAACCTCTGTGACGGACTCGGAGCCGGCACACGGCCTCATGCCGCGCCCCAGCCTCTTCCTAAAATCGGGGGGTTCCCTCCCTCTTTCTTGGCAACTGCACCGTGGTGATGCTTGGGCCCCCCTAGACACATGCCCCCGTAGAGTGCTCCTCTGGGCTGGGTACCGGGAGCCCGGCTGAACAAGCTCCCTGTGAGTCTCTTAGAGTTGGGATGCAGATCGCTGCTGTGTGCTGTTACCACGTTCTAACGGCATATGAGGTACTTTGTGTAGGAAAAAGGACCCTTGTTTTGTGCAAAGATGGCTCCCCAAAGCATTGAGCTGACTTGTGCAGATTCCAAACACTTAGCAGCGGGAGCGCAGACGCTGCACCTGACTGCTGTGACAGCTGCGGCCACTCAAGGCTACACGTCAGCCATCTGATGCTCCATTGTTCAGACAGGTAATCACGGGTACGGGCTTTGCCCGGCTGTGGAGCGACGGTGCTGACCTCCCTCCAGCCCTGGCACAGCTACGACGGGACTCTGCCGAGCCCCCGGCCTCCCACGTGGGCCACTCACACAATGCC